CATGAAAGGCCTGTTAAATAATTTCTGCAACAACTACCAATAACACACAAGATTTACAAGTCATCAAGTATCACTCTTGTATGACACCGTAACAACACACAAGATTTACAAGCCATCAAGTATCACTCTTGTATGACACCGTATATATACCGTCCCTTCTCTCAGGACGCAAGTCTGGAAATGCACCCTGAGTTCTCATTCCATGACTGCTTGCTTCTCGCATATCCTGCACATTCAAAAACAATTTTGCTACATACAAAGTTGAGCCCTAATATAAACTTTTTTTTGTTTCCTCATTTGTCTATAGCCTGATGTTTCACGGGGGATTTAAATGGTTCTCTTCCAATAATCTTCCGAGTATTTGAACCCCTCTGCAGCTAAAAACATAAGTAATATTTCATGACTTCTATCTCCCTGTTTTTCCAAAGTGATGCTTCAAACTAAAATCAAATTGAAGTAATACACAATAATTCCAGTCTTGACATCCCATGGTAACCCTAATAAATGGTGAACCCTCTCCAGCATATATACTCACAAGTTACAAAACAATTTTGTGAGCTAGATATGATTTCCATGAAATTCCCAACTTCTTAACAAATACAATTTCATAGCCTTCAAATTCTTCAAACATTCTTGCCTAGAGCCTAATTGATATCCTCAACAATCTCGCTTGTCTTGGTCGCAACAGCCTTCCCTGCCACCTCATGCTACAAAGGTATGTTGTTTAACAGCCCCTTCCCGGTAGGAGCAAGTTTCTATCACTAGTTGTCCATCCAACATAGGGAGACAAATAAATAACATGTATAACTGTACTGCCATTTTACGTTTGAAAATCTAAATTTGTCATACAGTGGTCAATCTATTCATATTCTAAGTCTTTACTAGTATATAAACATTGGCACAGGATGCTCTATACCCAAAGCTCAAAGGCACATGAGCTAATTTATAATTGACTCTGTGGTTGTGAGTGAGGTGACAAGGGACAGGCGCCTTTTCTTTAGGACAGGGGATCCCAGCCCATAAACATTGATGGTAAATACTTGACACATTTTATCACTATTAAATGCGCACATAAATAAACTAACCATGCTTCAATTACTGAGGGAAAATGATGATAAACATGCACTAGTTCGTATTATATTATGCTTTCATAATTTGTATCAGATGAGAAAAATTGGAAAAGAAAAAAGCTTATTAACGCATTAAGTACAAAAATTTCACAGCCCAAAAACTGTTTCAAATCAACCATGAAGTTGAGTGAGTATTTTATATCCATGCAAAGAGATATACTACATTCAATTTTCGCATTTGATAATTATGATAATAAAATAAAACTAAATTAGTTTAGTATCATATACATATGTAAGCTTATATTGAAAATTCAAGACCTCATCTGTTTAGTTTTCCTTAATGATATTCATCCACCCCGAAAGAGAACAAATCTTCACAAATTTACAAGATAGTGGCAGTTGTAAACAATAGTTGCACATGCAAAGGAATCAATGCAATAAAATAAGAAAGCAAAAAATTATCAATGAAGGAGGTCCAGAGGCAAACAAATAATCAAAAGAGAGTTTGATTGATGACAAGATAAATTGATGTCAATAAAATTTCAAATCAAAATAAAGAAACCTTGCTACCTAGTCTGTTTGGTTTAGTTTTTGAATTTTTTATTTTTAATGTTTTTTTCTTTGTCTATAGTAAACCTTTTCATATTTTTGTCTTTTTTTTTTTTTTATAACTTTTTTAGGTGCATCTAATAAAATACTTATAAAAAACAGGTTCAGAAAAAAAAAAAAAAAAAAAAACACCAGGAAATGTGACAATTTTTTTGTTTTTTGTCTTTAGTGAGCTGTTTGTAGATTTCTTCACAAATATTTACATTTTAAATGCATCTAAAAATTAAAACAATTTGACTAAAATATGAAAAAAGCTCACTGTGGAGAAACAAAAAAAAAATCAAATAATGTAGAGATCAAAACAATAAGCAATCAAGGTTATATTTATTATTGTTACCATCAATGGAGCCTATATGGACAATAGCAATGTAACAAGCTTCCAAACAAAAAAAAAATTCTTTCACCAGCAAAAGAATAAACTTGCATTTGGGTTTTTCTCATTTCTGAAAAATTCATTTAAAGAAAATGAACTGGCCCCGCAAGCCAATGTTACTAGCAAGTGGGTAGCTTGTACATAGAGGAATGAGATCAGAGAGGAGAAATTTCAAACCTCATAACCATCTGCCAAAACCAAACAGAAGAGAACATTAGCATGCCTCTGATCAAAGTTTACCCCCATAACTTGCATAAGTTGCATGAACAACCAATCAAAACATAAATGCAAGACCAAAAACTATTGTGTAACATGAACAAGTTTGATCATCTGTTAAGATATCAACAAAAAGCCACATAAACACCAATAATCAGAAATAAATGTCATTTTCCCTGTAATTGTAGTGCTGTATAATTTAAGGGTACATTCACAAATTAGAGAACAAGCCGTAGCTTACTTGTAGTCAGCACTTGCATCAGTTTCCCCACAAACTGTAGTTATGCCTCCACTGCATTAACAGTTCACATTGCAGAGTCTTGGTCTTGAATGAAAACTAGTTGGATGATAGACTCACAGTTCATTCACCGAACTATTCTTCCCAATCAATAGATACAACCTCCCAATGACCTTGGAGCTCAGCTGCAATTTCGAAGCAGAAGTTGGCATGACATGCAAAGCAATGATCATTAATACACATGATATCATTATAACCTCCTGCCCCAACTCTTTGCAGTGATTCATTCTACAACTGTTGTTTGAGTTCATCTTAATGCAATCCTTGGAGTGAAAGTCCATTCAATAGAGGGTTTCATAATGTTTTTCTTCAGAATGTAACAGGAATATTTAGAATATTATCTCTTGAGAAGCTATCATATTGATAACAAATAAGACCTCAGCTAATGCTGGCCTCATTGTCAATTCTTTGTTACTGTTTACGAAGCAAAGATCCCCACAACCTTCAAAAAATTCAGTAGTCCATACTGAAATTCCATAATGCTGTGTTTAGATCAGGAATTTGGATAGGAATTTGCAAAGGAAGAAAGAAAAGTAAGGGAGATGTGAATGAAATATGAAACACAGCCTAAATGCAAACTACAATAATTGTCTGAATATTTTCAGTATTGCAGATCAGATAACCAAGGAATTCACAAGTAACTTTAGAAATATATCACTACCTTAAATGCTCTATACTATATTACTACTTCGAAAAGCAGTCCAGGTACATGGCCAACTCCCATAATGCAAAAGTTGCATGAACCAATTGATTTTTTATTTACATATATATATATATATATAGAGAGAGAGAGAGAGAGAGATGTTCACAAGGACTACAAAAGTTTCAAAATATACAAGTTCAATGATCTCTTAAGATGTCAAAAAACAACTATTAATAACAATAATCAGCTTAATTGACAAAGAGGTGGAACCACAGAGGTAGATGTCACAGAAAATCAGCAAACAAAAGATGGTTTGGATCATTGAATTATCAATGATTCAGAAAAAAAGAATTTCAACTGCACTGAAGTTAACTTTTAAGACTGCAAATTGTACCCCAACAAGCATTGCCTATGTCTAGCACATTCTACAAAGTTTCAGTCTTACATAATAACAAGCTCGATGATAGGGAAACACTATCACCTAATGTTTACCCACCTTCCGAAGCAATAAATAGAATCTCTCAGAATCTGGAGCGCTCTGGTACAAGCATAAACTGGAAAAACATGTAAAATAGTTATCCAAGCAGTACTCTTGTAAACCTCCTGCACCAACTCTTCTTAAGAGGAAGCCCCAGAACTCACCAAGTTCAGTGTCACAAATTCCATGGAGGAAAGGTTCATATTGAACCATGGGACTCATAATATTTTCCTTCAAAAAGCACCAAGAATGTTGACTTATTTCCAATGTTGACTATAAGGCTTATTTGGTTCACTGGACTGAGCGGGAATGGAATGGAATAATCATTCTTTAGGGGCTCATATGGAATGAATGGTGAATGATGATTCCATTTGTAATGCATTTTGTTACTATTTTGTTAGTCAACCAAACATGGAAATGAACATTTTGATGGAATGATCATTTATTCCGTTTCATTCCAATGAACCAAATAAACCTAACATTAATTAAAAATTGTCACCCTGGGTGCACTGGCCACCTCTTCAATTCTTGTGATTGATTAAAAGTAATTCAAAAAATTTGGTAAGCCATACCGGAATCTATAAAGCTTAGTGACAAGTGACTATTATTATGTCCCATTTTAAAGCTCAGAGAGCCAGTGAACTCACATGAGAAAATATGAAATGAATGGTGAAGCTAAATGTTCCATGGCATGTTAATACCTCAGAAAGCAGTCATGGAGACTTGCTTTTGCTCAGGATTACATTGAGCATTATCCATGTCAGTCATTCCAATCCTTCAAAAAGGTTGTCAGCAGTCAAAAGAACAATGTACAGCTTCTTCACATATTTCAGTCAATTCAATTTTGCAATCTAAAGCCAAAAAATTAGACCTTCCAGTTAGAAACTGTAACGAACAATGTTCAGCTTCCTCACATACTTAAGTCAATTTTTCTTTTCCTCATGTATCATTACAAAAGTGGATGAAAACATTAGCAGATTCATCATATGATAGGGGGGTACAAGCCCCAATCCAAAGATCAAGCTATATCTTCAAATCACTAGGAGATTCCACACACCAGTGTCTCCCAACTGGAGCTATTCATTGCACTAGTGCACATGAAAAAAAAAAATGGTTAAAAACAGTGATCAAAGACACTGACTAGTATCATCACCAATAATTCAATTAGCACAGAATAAACTATGTTTATGTTGTGCATCATGAAATCAATATTAATATATACAATGAATTAAAAAGTGTTGGAAGTGCAGGATTTACAGTAAAACAATAAAATTAGAGCATCCAAAATTTTAGAAGCACATAAACAAGCTGTGTTAAAAAAATTTGCGAATTTCTTTTCATTTTCACTAGATTGGTCTCCATACAAGTAAAATACTTGGGGTGAAATTCCCCAATAGTTATATCAAATGACACTAGAACATCAAAATTCTTCCCCTGTTACATTAATTACCAATAAAGCTTCCACTTTTCGAAGCAAAACTTAAATAGCCTAAATATATAGTAATATGTTAGGTACCCAAATCAAACATGATCAGTCAAACTACCTCTGGCTTCCCAGGCCCTGCTTGTTCTTCATCGTGACGCCGAGTTCACCGGCAATTATAACAGTGGTTGCCATGCCAAGAAACATCCCATGCTCTACAACACCCGGGTGCCTCAAGATTGCATCACTAGCAGCATTCAAATCTCCAATATCTTTCTTGAAATACAAATCAATAATATAATTCTTGTTATCAGTCACAAATGGTTTACAATTTTCACCAAAAGTCCTAAGCTTTGCAACGCAACCCGCCTCCTCGAACAACAATTGAAGCCTGTGAGCCGTGAATTTCCAACAAAAAGGCACAATCTCAACCGGCATAGCCAACCCACTACCCCCCAAATGCTCAACAAGCTTCGATTCATCAACAATCACAACAAATTTCTTGCAAGCACCTTCAATCATCTTCTCTCTCAGCAAAGACCCACCTCGTCCTTTGACCAAATTCATGTAAGGATCGACCTCATCAGCACCATCGATTGCTAGATCGACAACAGGGTGAGAATCGAGGTCAGAAAGCGGAATTCCAACAGACACAGCTTGTTCATGAGTCATCTTCGAAGTGGGTATTCCAACAATGTTGTTGAGCTTGCCTAGGCGCAAAAGCTCGCCGATTCGATCCACGGCGTGCTTGGCAGTTGAGCCAGTTCCCAAACCCAAAACCATGCCCGATTCGACGAACTCAACGGCCTTGTAAGCAGCGATCTTCTTGAGCTCGTCCTGCGTTAGAATCACCGGCGATGGCTTTGACACCATGATAGCTGACTCCACTGTTGGCTTGTCAGACACAATAAAATGAGGGAAAGCAATAGCCATATTTCAATCAACCAAAATCAATGAATCAATCAACCAAAATCAATGAAACAATCAACCAAAACGAAAATATACAAAAGGAATCGAAATTAATGGTGGGCTGTTTCAATTCAAGGCTTTGGATTAGAAGAGACCCAAAATCATAGTAAAGGAGAGAATCGGGACAGAACCCAGAAATCTTGGATTTGGAGAGAGAGAGAGAATCGAAGAAGATATGGTCAGAGATATTAGGCTGTTTGTGTGGTGGTGAGAGGGAGAGAGAGTTGATTTGGGTTTCTTAAAGTGATTGGAATGGACTGGAATGGAATGGAATGGGTGGTGCGTGGAAGCTAGGGTTTTGGATGCATAGATTTATAGAGAAAGGGTTTGAGAGGATCAGAAAATGCGGGAGATGCGAAGGTTCAGAGAGAGAGAGAGAGAGAGAGGGGGAGGGGTTGGAATTTAAATTTGGTAAAATTGTGTGGGTAGGAATTGAGATTACCCGAACCAATAGTTTGAATCATATCCGGAGGACTTGTCCTACACGCATAACCTACACTTTTCCTCCCACCTTGTGTTTGGCATTTGGTCTTGGATTATTTTAGTCGAAAATAAATAAATAAATAAAATAAGTTTAAAAAAAATTAATAAAATAAAACATCATATTTAAATTATATATCATTTTATTTTTTTATAAAAATCAAAAATATTAAAAAATTCATCTCAAATGAGAATTTTTAACCTTAGGCTATTTTTAGTAATTTTTTGACTTTTTACGAAAAGATGAGCAGGAAATTAAAAAGCGAGATGCAATAACTTATAGGTTTCATTTGGGAAGAATGGGTTGGATGAGTTTGGGGCTATTTTAGTCATAAAAAGATAAATAGATTTTTTAGTCTGATAAGATAAAATATCACATCCAACTTATAATCATTACATTCTTTCTATCACAAAAGTCAAAAAAAAATCAAAAAGTTCTTCCCAAACAAAGCTTTTTAACCCCAGGCTAAAATAGTCAAAAAACTAACCCACTTCTCAAACGAACCCAAAGTGATTTTTTAACTTTTTAACTAAAATATATAGTTGACAAATAAGACCTAAAATAACCAAAAAAATCAAAAAACTAAAAAGCTAACTCACCGAGAGCTTCTATCTACACACACCAAATCCCCTCTATACATACACTTAATGATATTTAATTTTATTACAATTTTATCCCTAAGTGAAATTACTATTTTAGACATCATTGTTGATTCAAAACATCTCAATGCACATATCCATCTAGAGTTCACATCTGTTGCATCGTGCACACATCCAGCCAATTCAAAACGTCTCCAAGTTTGTAGCTTCATTGAGCTATAAATGAAAGCAGAGTATTCACTCATTCCTAGCTTCTTCCAAGTTCGTAGCTTCTTCCATTAAGCTCCAAGTTCGTAGCTTCTCAATACACTCATTCATCAACCTTCCTCATTCGTAGGGGAAAACATCATTGTTATGGAGGATTTGTCTTCTGAAAATCAGCAAATAAGTGTTTATGAGAAACATAACGAAGGAAATGTGAGTTTTTTTTTTTTTCTAGCGTTGTTCGGATAACCAGAGTCGAATTGTATTATTTGGTTCGGAAATCTACTACCGAAATAAGTATTTATTTTCAGAAGTTGTTGTTCGAACAAAGTAATTAATTTCGAAAGTTGTTGTTCGAACAAAGTATTTAAATTTGGAAGTTGTTGTCCGAACAAAGTTAACTTTTACAACATTCAACTTCCGAAATTTTAAAATAAATTCAGACAACTACTTCCGAATGAAGTAAAAAAAAAAAAAATTCATTTTATATTCCAAATTTGCAAACTGCGTACCAAATTTATAGTTTCGAATTGCAAATTAATCTTTATAATGCCATTAAAAATTTGTAATGTTATACAAAACATGTAGGAATATGTGTCAACTCAAGGAAGTCAGGTTTGCACGGATTTTGTGTTAGATTGCACTACTCAATTCACAACTGAACAGGTTCACTCTACGAAATTATAATGATTATGTTTCGAATTGCTCACCAAATGTAAATGTTTGATAATATTTATTTGACTGTGTAGGTATTCAAAAGTAAGGATGAATTGCTCAACTGGGTACGTGAAGTTGGAAAGAGAAATGGTTTGGTCATTGTAATCAAAACATCAGACTATGGTGGAGGAAAAAAAAGACCCAGGCTGTATCTTGCTTGTGAGAGGAGTGGCCAATATAGAGCAACAAAGAAGTTAAAACATGATGGCAACAATACATCAAGAATAACCGGTACGAAGAAGTGTGGTTGTCCTTTTGATATAAGGGCTCACAGGTTTACCACATGATGAATGGACATTGACCATAGTATGCGGATTGCATAATCATCCACCTGCGGTGCACCTTGAGGGACATTCATATGCGGGGAGGCTATCAAAGGATAAGAAATCATTGTTAACGGATATGTCAAAGAGCATGGTTCGGCTAAAAGAAATCCTAGTAACCTTGAAACAGCGAGATGCCCTCAATATAAGCACACTTAAAACCATTTACAATGTACACCATCGAAACAGGGTGGTACAGAGAGCTGGAAGATCACAGATGCAACACTTATTGGGTGAATTGGCCAAGTATAATTACATTAAGCGCCATCGGTCTGAAGATTCCACGATGACTGTGACAAACTTGTTTTGGGCACATCCTACCAATTTGGACTTATTTTGGTCTTTCCCACGTATATTAATTATGGATTGCACATATAAAACCAACAGATATCGTCTTCCTCTTCTTGAAATTGTGGAAGTGACTTCAACTGAAATGACATTCTCTGTAGCTTTCGCATACTTACAGTATGAGAGGGTCGATAACTATGCGTGGGTGTTAACTACATTGCGTGATGTCATGGATGGTTTTGTTGTGCCAACAATTATTGTTACTGACAGAGAGCTAGCCTTGATGAATGCCATACAGAAGATATTCCCGAATGGCAGACATTTATTATGTCGTTGGCATATCAGTAAGAATGTATTGACCAAATGCAAGAAAATGTTTGAGACACAGCAGAAATGGGAGAAGTTCAACCATGAGTGGAACTCTTTAGTGTATTCATCTTCTGAAATTCAATACGATGAGCGTCTTAAATCATTACTTAAGGAATTCAGTAGTTATCCTGATGCAGTTAAATACTTCATGGATACTTGGTTGGTTCCTTACAAGGACAAATTTGTAGCGGCATGCACAAACACGTGTATGCATTGTGGCAATGTTACAACGAACCGGTAAGATTACTTTTCTTCAATATGTTATTAATAAATGCCATGTACTTGATTTTAATTTGACTTACATTGAATTGAACAGGACTGAGAGTGCACATGTAAAACTTAAAAGACAATTGGGTTCATGTCAAGTCTCATTTCAGGCGTCATTTGAGAAAATACACAGTCTGCTTGAATTGCAACACACTGATATCAAGGCTTCATTTGAGAAAAGTCTAATTGTTGTGCAACATCAATTTAAACCTTCTCAGTTCAAGGAGCTGCGAGGTAATGTGTCTATCTCTGCATTGGAGTATTTGCTTGTAGAGAGTAAGAGAGCCAATTCCATTGGTATTGATGTTGAAGCTTGTGGATGCGTCCTTCGCCACACTCATGGTTTACCTTGTGCCCATGAGATTGCTGACTACATCAGACAAGATCGTCCTATACCACTTGCTACCATACACTCATAGTGGAGGCAATTTCATATCTCCATATGCAAGAAAGAAGAGGAAACGGGGGTGAGTTGTCATGCAGGAGTAGAGTTGTTTGTGAACAAGTTTAATAAAAGTGATAGAACCATGCGGTTGGAGCTTTTGAAGAAGTTGAAAGAGATTGTATATCCGGGAAGCACTTTTCTTGTTAAGCCGGAGGTGAAACCCAAAACACGTCCTCGGGATTATAAGAATATCAATGTTTCTATCCATTGTGACCTGTGTGCATTTGAGTTGGTGCAATCTGGACATGATTCCTTCTCACCTGGGGATACTCAAATCACTACATTAGCTTCTACTCTGCAAACCAAGAAGAAGCGACCTGTTAAGGGAAAGGAGAAAGTGAATCCGAAAGGGAAGGTATACATTACTAGAACAGTGAAACCTGGTGCATATGTTGATGCTTTCCCTTCTGGGTTGAAACCATACATTAAGTTTGTCAAGGATGTAGCTGCAGATGGGAATTATGGTTTCAGGGCTATAGTTGCTTCAATTGGTCATACAGAAGATGATTGGGCTCAGGTTAGGTGTGATCTGTTGGGTGAGTTGCACACACAAAGAGGAATACATTACACTTTATGAGTCCTACGAAAGGTTTGAAGAATTGACAAGCATATTGTCATACTTTGAAGACAGTCCTAAATACTCACATTGGATGACTATGCCAGACATGGGGCATCTTGTTACATTGTGCTACAATCTTGTGTTATACCACTTGTCATTACAGCAATGTCTCACCTTTTTACCTATTAGAATAGTGCCAGTACCTCAACTTGATAGACGTGAGATTGCCATTGGGTTTGTCAACAGAAATCATTTCGTCCAGGTATAACAGAAACTTATAAATTGGGTTTGTGCATGTACAAGAAGTTATGAGGTATGACCACTAACTCAATTGATATTTGGTGCAGGTTTTGTTGCAGCCAGGCCATCCAGTTCCTCCTATAGCCACTAATTGGCGAAAATACCGTAACCCTTGCGCTGTCGACTGGGATGATGCATATGTGTGTCGCATTCAACATTTCAAGGACATTATTCATGATAATGTAGCTACTCGAGAGACATTTGATGTTGTTGATGTCGCATGACACATGTATGCATCTGACAATGTTAGAATTATGGAAGAAATTAACGGATGTGTTTTTGATGTTGATGTGTTCTGTTTTGCAATCTGGATTGAATGTTATCAACCATTGTTACCATTCCATTGTAATAAGAAAATATTATTTACAAAATCAATGACCATTGTTACCATTCCATTCTAATAATAAAATGTCATTATAATACCATTGTTGCAATTCCATTCTAATAAGAAAATATTAACCACTATTACCATTACAACAATATCATCTTACAAAAAACACCAAAAAAATTTTATCCACTAACAAATAACATGTCACGAATCAGCTGTATGCCTACGTCTAGGCCTACGACTGTATGTCAATGTCGAAGATGGAAAGCGACCTCCAGTATAAATAAGTCCAGCAGAACTAGGTCGAGCTTCGTCAATGTACTGATCTTCAAGGACATGCGTCATACTCTCGATAGCCTGGTAAAGTCGATAAGGATGTCGAATCCCCTTCTCATAACCAGCGTCAATAATAGGATGTGAAATCTGCAGTGCATGTGCAATATGCTGCATTTGAAAACATTTTAGGGAACA